AAAATCAAGTTTGAGGTCACACCCATGACAGTGGGACTTCAAGCAGGTCACCGTGAGCTCAGTAATGCGAAACAGGGAAAGGAGAAAAACTCCACATGAAGTTGGGACACAGAAGGCAGCTTGACAGATCGCAAGCTTGGAGTCTGCTCATGATGCTTCCTACAAGATGAATAGTCAGTGCTGAGAAAGCAAAGAGGATGGCCAGCAGCAGAGAAACGCGGGGAAGGTAAGAGTCAACCTCATGAGCCAGGTTGTGCTGGTTGCCCCCACCCGTTTAAGTGTTGAAGGCGAGTTTGGATGGAGCTTGGAGCAACCTGGTCTAACAGAAGGTGTCCCTGCCCATGGCACAGGGGTGGAACGAGATGGGCTTTAAGGTCCCTTTCAACCCAAACCATCCTGTGATTCCATGACTTGGACAAGACAGCTAAGCCCACCCATCAGAGCTCCAAACTGTGTCAAGCAGCACCTGGAAATAGAAGCTTCCCAGGTGTAGGGGGCACACTTCTTCACACAAATAAGTTGCCGATAAACTTCCACTTACACAGAGCACTTCACTTCCTCACACTGGCCACACCACCAGGTTCAGGAGTTCCCAAGGCACCTCCAGCTCCTCCCGTAGCAGGTCCCTGCCCCGCACTACCGGCACAGCCCCCCAGCCCCCAAGGGAGGGCTGCCAGATTCCCCCCACTCCAAAATCCCCCCTTTCCATTCCCCGCCCGGCGCCAGTGCACAGACCCCGAACCCGCCCCGCTCCCCCTCGCCCCGGGAGAAGCCGCGACCCCCGAGGGCCTCCGCTCCGCCCGGGGTCCCTCAGGCCGCTCCACGGCGGCTCCTCCGCCCGGCGGAGCCGCTCCCGCCGCACCGGGAGGGTTGGAGCAGCGAGCCTGGCGAAGCCTCCGCCGCGACCGGCCGGCCGGCCCACGGCGAACCGACCGCCGGGACCCCGCGACGCTGCAACCCCTCCGCCCATACCTGCTCCGGCGCTGCGCTCCCCGGGCGGGGCGGGCCGGGCCGGGCTGCGCTGGGCCGGGGCCGCCGCCGCCGCCACCGCTCTCCCCGCGCCCGCCGCGGCTCCTCCCTCGGCCGCGCTCGACGGGCACGGCCCGACCCGGCAGCGCTCGGTGCCGGCGCCGCCCCGCACGGCTCCGCCCTGAGCCCGCGCGGCTTCCGGGGCACCGCGGCCGCCTGGAGACCGCGTGGCGTTGCCAGGGGGAGGAGGCGGGCACCGCGGGTCGGCTCAGCACCACTGGGGCTCAGCATCCACCGGGGCTCAGCATCCACTGGGGCTCAGCTCGGCACAAACCTGGCTCAGCATCCTGCGGGGCTCAGAACCGTCCGGGGCTCAGCACCCACCGGGGCTCAGCATTTGCGTGGGCTCAGCTCAGCACCGTCTGGGGCTCAGCATCCTCCTGGGCTCAGCTCGGTACCTGCCTGAGCTCAGCACACACCTTGGCTCCTCACCCGTCACACTGCAGCCTCGTCCACCCGCTCCTTCTTCAGAGGAAAAACATTCCTCCTGAAACACCTCGCACCACAAAAATCTCCAGGTTTCTAAGGTTTTAGTAGGAAATATAATGAATATTTGTTGTGAAGGTGGTGAGGCCCTGGCACAGGTTGCCCAGAGAAGCTGGGGCTGCCCCATCCCTGGAAGCGTCCAAGGCCACATTAGATGGGGCTTGGAGCAACTTGGTCTAATGGAAGGTGTCCCTGCCCATGGCACAGGGGTGGAACGAGTACCTCATATTGCTATGGCCAAGCTTGGAAATTTTCTCCTGGCACCATAATTAACCTGAAAACAAAGCCCAGTTCCAATAAAATTGGTACTATTTCACTTTAGGTTTTTTGCTGACTCTTTTGAAAAAAATCTTTATGTGCAATTGGCCAACTCGAGTATAGGTTTAATAAAGGATTAATATTTATTTTTAAACCCTTTAAGTTTTCAATATTAATATCAAAATTAGAATGTCTCAATCCAGCCTGTCCTGGCAGCATCATATCGAACACCACCCTGAGCCTCTGTTCCAGGATGAGCTTATTTTGCTTATTTTTTGTGATATTATTCATGGAAATCAATAATAATGTGGCTATCACATCCCCCCACCTTTGATCAAAGGGAGAGGCACTTTTGTGATTCAGCTCCCATTTTTTCTGCTCTGAACCATCTGGGCCCTCCAAAAGAGCATCTTAATTCTGAAAAATTATTTACCATCAATTTTAGTCTAGGTAATTCTTTTGCTAAGTCCTATTAAACATGCGGATTCTCATTAGCCCTCTGATAATCCGTTGGGAGTTTATCCGAAGACTGGCCTGCATGTGGAATGAAACATGAAGGGAGCTCAAAGCTGACCCCAAAACATTTTGGATGGGTTAGGCTACCCCAACAGAGATTTTACTCAGCTCCTCATGCCTGACCAAAGACAGGTGAGAATCCAGACCAATTCCCAAGTGCCTTATTAGGAACAGAAATTAAACATCCTGCTTTTCTTCTTGCAACTGCTGCAGCGTCTCCGGTCGGGTTGAAACGGCTCGTGGCTGGCTGGAGCTGCTGAGCAGGACAATCCCCCTTTGTCTAGAGCAGCAGGAAAGACAATGAAGCTCCTGTTGAGGATCAGGCACAGGACGGCACCACCCCAACACAACAGCGTGGGCAGGGGGACCCTGCAGACACAGACCTTGGATCCCTCTGGATAACATGCAAAGAGGGAAAAATCAAAGCCTGAGGAAAAACAAAGATTAAAAGGACATTTTTTGGCAGAGGAGTGAGAATAGAGGATCAACCACATAGAGCAAGAAGGTACCAGGGTCTCATCCTCTCTCCCGATGGAAACAGCCCTGTAATCACTCAATCCAGCACAGGACTACACATGACCAGGCTTGGAATTTACCACAATTAATAGTACTCTGGTGTGAGAGGGAGTCCGGTGTGACTCCCATAAAATCAGCAGGCAGCACCTAAACGCAGACTCACAGAGTCCACAGCAGGAAGGCTTCATTCTGAGGAGCGGGAAGCAAAAAATCAGAAATACAAATTGGACATTTTCTTTTAGGAAAAGCCTTGGAAGTCAGAAAAAGCAATGCAAACCCCTCGCATGGGGGATGAGGCCCTGAGGTTTGGTGCTGGATTTCCCCTGGTGGGATGAGAGGTCAGCAGCTGCCGGCCCAGCCCCCTCCCCTCTGGCTGCTTCCCCACAGCTTGGACATCTGCTGTCCCTGCCGCCCAGCTGCCCCCTGCACCGCTCCAGCAGGAGCAGATCCCTCCTTCCAGCTACATCCAACAGAAGCGTGCCGTCTGGCCTGGTTCGGACACGAGGAGAGAAGGGGGCTGCCAGGAAAAACTAAAACCACTCTGGAGCAACAGCAATTTGTGACTATCCAAGGTAATTTGGAATACTGACAGAAAACTCCCATGTGTTGGGATGGGAATAAAATCTACTAGGGGAGCAGGTTGCCCTCACTGCCCACTCCTGTCCCTCCAGCATTGCCGGGTTTGAGCAGGACACAGGGACTCAGCCAGTGACACGGTGTGTGATTTTGCTGATGCCACTTCCTTACCTGGTGAGATAGCACAGACTCTCAGGAAATGAGCAATTCCAGTCTGTCATCCATACATTTATACATTCCTTGCACATTGCCTAAGTAAACAAACTGGTCCCTGGCACAGCCTCTGTTCAGAGCTGCAGAGGCTGCTGACACCTATGGTCAGCCCGGGGTATTGATGCTTAAAAGTAGACTGATTTGGATTGAAAGGGACATTAAAGCTCATCCTGTTCCACCCCCTGTCATGGGCAGGGACACTTTCCATTATCCCAGGTTGCTCCAAGCCCTGTCCAGCCTGGCCTTGAACACTTCTGGGGATGGGGCAGCCTCAGCTTCTCTGGGCAACCTGTGCCAGGGCCTCACCACCCTCCCAGCCAAGAATTCCTTCCCAACCTTCCATCTAACCCTGCCCTCTGGAACAAGATGATCTTTAAGGTCCTTTCCAACCCAAATTATTCTGGGATTCTATGATTCAGGTCTCCACCAGCTATTGCTCCCTGACCTGGGAGAGCAGCCTTGATATAACTCTGTCACAAGCAGCTCATCATCCCTCTCCCCTCCCCACCTTGATGTTTCACAGCCCTCCCGGGCACTAAACACAGATAACCCTGGAGTGGAGTCAGGATAAGCAGATCTGATCAGAGCCCAATAGTTTTGTCTGTTTACCAGGCAGTTTCAGAGGAAAAATGGAGACTGAGGATACAGCTAATTTGGAAGGTGAAATGGCCAAAGGAAGAGCCGCCCACAGTGCTGCTGCAGCCGCGGAGCTGCCACCAGGATGATGTTTTGTGTCATGTCAGGGTAGAGAAGTCTGTGGTTTGTACGGCATGTTACCATGAGCTTATTCCCCTTAACTGACAAAATTTCCAAAAATTTCTATTAAAGAGAAATCACGACTTGCTATTTCTCATTTAACCAACTCAAACTGCTTTTCTGTGACATCCCTCCTTTTTATCCATGGACTTTTTAGGAAGAGGCTTTGACAGCAGTCACCACTTTCCGCACCATAACCACACCAGGCTGACCTGCTAGAGCTGCCACTAATAAGTTCCCCTCATGTGCTAAATTTAAATTTAAATCTCTTAAATTCCCCTTTGCATCTACTCAATGCTACTCTGATCATTTGTGGAGCTTCTGAGGAAGAGCAGAAGCAGAACTGTCAAGATTAAGACCCATCACAAGAACCCACTCAATTTTTTCCTATAAATTATCCCAAAAGTTGTGTGGGAGCCTCAGGCACTTCACAGTAACAAGTTTAATTTAGTTTTAGCCTTTTATTGCTCTCCAAGCTTTTGGGGTTTTGATTCTTTAGAACAATCCAGTTTGTTTTAATTCAACTCCACCTCTAATCATAGCAAGTGCTATCTGCCCGTTCACCTCACTGGGGTCTTTCCAAATCCTGTTTACCATCTTTGAACAAAAAAATCTTCATTAACAGCTTTTTCAATGAAGACTTAACAGGGGTGTGTGCTCAGAAGGCTTCAGTGTATGAAAAAAAAAACAAGTATCTGCTTTCTAAAAACAGAACCAAGGTCCATGCAAGTCCTGGACAAGCACAAGGCAATCGGAAGATGAAAGATAAAAGCTGCCTGACATGCAGGAAGCACCGAGGAACTCAAGGAAACCCAGATAAAAAATTAACCAATGATTTACACTGAATGCTAAGTGCCAAAATGTATAAATTAATTAATTTTTCCACAGTGTTCCTGCTGTCTCTCAGACTTTTAGTCCTGTACAACAGCTGAAGGTAAGCCATAACAAATTATAAAAAACTATAAAAGTGTCCAAAAACCAGCTCAAATAGGAGGAGCAGTTTATCACGAAAACTGAGGTCAGATCATGTCTACTCCTCCTCAGAGGACTCTCCATCTTCGGCAGGATCTGGTGGCAGGGTCCGAGCTCTGTAAGAAGCATTTCAAAGGCATTAACAGAACCCAATCAAAGGTTTGAAAGGCCAACAAATCCCTTTTCCCAGAACCTGAGTGACCTAAATGACATTAATTAGCCCCAGACAGCACCTTCAGGCATCAGGACTGACAGAAGCTGCATTATCCCGAGGGTTACGAGCCCAGATGGATCAGCACAGACTTTCCTTTCAAATGAGAAAGAAAACATCCCATACCAAAACATCCCCGGAGGGTCTCTGTGTGTCCCTGGCCTGGAGGGCCACACGCAGTTTCCACACCTTTGTTTGAAGGCTGCATAACTCCCGTTTCACACCTAAATTTCAACCTAACTTACTGACCAAAGAAGTTGTGCAGTTGAGCGAGTACAGCTCTTGCTTCTTCCAGAACACACTGGGAAGCTGCACATTGTTTTGTATGGGGGGCTCCTGTGTTCTCACCACATTTTCTGTTTCACCAAGAGGTAGGATGCATTTAAAAGCCTTTGTTTTCCTGTCCTGCAGGACAATTCCAGGCTGATTCCTATAGGGCTCCCCCCCAGGGCAATTTAGGAATTTCCATTTGGTGGAAAATTGGAGGTTCAACAGAGAATTTGAAACAGAGTGTCTGTAAGACAGTATTTTATACTGCCATGTTTTCAGTCAGTAGGGCAGGATACAAGCTAATTTTTGAGGTTTCAGCTTGGAAAAGCAATTCTCTGTTACATGCAAGTGGCTTAGTGCTCTTCTAAGCTTTCTGAAACATCGCTGTGCTCTGTAGGTACACGAAGTTAAGTCTGAGCACTGAGAACTTGCCTAAGCTACCAGTTACCCCATTCATATCCCCCCCCGAGGTCCCTGGAGACAGATGTTGAACTTAGCCGGACTTTGCTGGAAACTAGGATACAGAGGTTTGGAGTTTGGAAAGTTTGTAAACTTTTCAGCAGTCGCCTTCTCCTTCACAAATTGTAGTTTCACAGCAGTCAAGGAGGAACACTAACCACAACTTGTTTCATCCAAGGACACCAACGCTCCCCCCTCTCGAGTCCCCAGGAATGTCGCTCTCGGGATTTTATGGAAGTGCCAGGGTTTTGCTGTTTGATGTCACACCCTGGACCACTCTCTGATAATCCACATTAGAGCAGCACCACAGAGCCCCAGCTGGCCCATGACAGCTCTGCAGGTGGTTTTTGCTCTCTGCCATGCTCCAGGGAGCCTCAATTGTTTTTTTTTTTAAAAAGGAAGTGAACGTTAAGCTTAAGTTTGGCAGAATCAACCCCCAGAATTCCCCAGGCGTACAAAAACCTGCCTGTCCATGTTGAGCTTTGCTCCTTCCCGTTACCCCACTGGGCGACACTTCTGCACCTCCTCCTCCCCTCTAGTTGTAGGGATTTGTGCCTCCCCCGACACCCACCCTAGGCCGCTGCTCCCGGGCATGGCTCCGTCGGGCGCCCGGTTCTCCTTGGGCGGGAGCTGCAGGAACTCGCTGATGCTTCTCTGCCAAGCGGGGACCGGCCGCACACACACCGAGTTCAGCCCCACGGGGCGCCGGTCACCTGCGGGGAGGGGGTCAGGTTGCGATGGGAGGGAGGGAAGCAGGAAAAGAAGGAAGCAAGGAGGGAGGGAGAGAAGGAGGGAGGAAAGCAAGGAAAGGAGAGAGGGAAGAAGGGAGGAAAGAAGGCGGGAAAAGAAGAGGGGAGGAAGGGAGGAAGGAAGGCAGGGATAAAGTAAGGAAGGGAGGGAG